TTCTGGAGTTCACATGGCTCAGAGTTATAATTGAATATAACTGCTCATTGCGGGTTGTTCTTTGGATGTTTTTAGCTGTTTTGGTCTGGGTTTTTTGGTCTGGGTTTTTTTTGGGGGGGGGTGGGATTTTTCTTTTGTTTTCGTTTCTCTTAAGTGATAGCTTTTCCTGAAAATCCACACAGAACATGGTGCTTCCCATTGCTCTCCCCCTAGGAAGGAAATTAATTAGTCAGAGTTCTGGACAATTTTGTTTTCCTAGGAAAGGAAATGCATGCTTTGATTGACTTTTCAGAAAATATGTTGTTGACAAAATAGTGACATTGAATATGATGTCAGAGTTTGGTAAGCCTCCAGTGTGTATGAAAGATGAGGATAAGATATGATTTTTATGTAAGGAGAGGCAAGGAAATTTCAATCTGGTATGTGCAAGACTTCGTAAGTTTTACTTTCAGTTGTGTGTGAAAACTGACTAATTTTTTCATTAGACTTTGAAAATTGGAGATTTTTTAAATTGTTTCTAATCATTCAGCTAATTGCTTTCATCTGTGTATGTCTAATGACTTACATGCTCAAACTGACAGTTTCATAAGACAGTATTTCTACTGTAGACTGTGTGTGGCTTTCACATTACGTGGTAGTCTGATGTTTTTTTGTGATTTACACTTCCTAGTTTTATTTTTTCTTTAAAGAGGGACATTGCCTTTTAAAAACATACCACATGGGAGAAAGGGTGCCTATTGCCAGCAGAGGAGGAAATACAGAAAAACCATGTTTCCTTAGCTGCTTCAGGGTAAATGAAGTAGTGTGTCTTGTCTGGATATGGAGCTCTAAAATCATGAGGGGAAGAAGAAACTATTATGCAAATAAATTGTTTCTTTTAGGCTTGAAATAGAATTTTGAGGAATAAGCTTACGCTGTGTTGTAGTCTTTTACGATGTTACTTGACAGTCTGTTTAGTATGATAAGGCTTCTTTCTTTAGCCTTATGTAATACATAAATGCTTTGTCAAGAGGTAATCATGGTTTTGTCTTTGCAGTAGCCCAGAAAATTTACTTGATAGCCCTTGCTGCAGAAGCAAAGTGGAGAAAATTCTGCTTTATTACATCTGAGTCACTGTCTTCTCTCCTAACTCATCATTGATGGAGTTTGATAGCATAGTTAGTCCGGTGCAGAAATCCAAAGGAGGCTTTTCAGGACCTGTAGCTTTTATGATTTTACCTGCACTGAAAATACAGTTCGTGCAAGTTCTCACTATTGTTGGCATGGCTGAGGCTTCAACAGCAGGGTTTGATTCCTTACCCCAGTCTTTGGTTTTCATTGTTTCTGGAGAAAGTGCTTCAATACTGCAGTTATCATTCACTTGAGAAGTCCCTGCTATTAGTAGTGTCAGTAAGAATTACAGGAAAGAGGCCTTTCTGGTGTCTGCTTTCATCAGATGTTTGTGGACAGTTTTCAGGATTCTAATAAAGGGATTTGTTCTCTTTTTATAGTTGTTGAGCATTAATTGTGGCAGTATTCTGGAGCAAATGCGTGATTCTTAGTGGAGAGGGGGAGAAAAGTGTAACTCCTTTTCTTCTCAAAAAGCACATATGCCCTTGAACTCTGGCAGTGAATGGTGCAAGTTACCATTTGGAACTATAAATGCCGAAGTATGAGGGATGGATGAATGCACAGTTTACTTTCCATACACATGAAGACAGTAGGGAGGAGATTTATGTTGTTGTTAATATAAACATTTCTGATTTTTAGGGGGAGTACCAAAGTCATGTTCCTTGCTTAGTTTGGGTTTCAGAATGGCAGTGATATGATCTTGAAACATCTGTGGGTTTTTTTGTTTTGCTGTAGGTGTTTTTGAGAGGCAGGGTGGTGATGCTGTCAGCATCTGTAGTGTCTTTGGTGAAATACAGCAGCTTAATGTTTTAATTTAACAATATGTTTTGGAAATTCATGTTCACTGTGCTTCAGTGGGATTGTTTGTAGTATGAGTAAACATATTAGTGAGATTAGGTAAATATTCAGCTTTGCCTTGAATGGTGTTTAGTGTCTGTCTAGAATCCTGAAATAGGCTAGTGATTCTCACATGCATTGCACTGTAATTTATCTGAAATTATTTGGGATACAGATACCACAGAGCCTCAAAGCTCCCGTGTTAGTTGTTACTACTTTATAGAAAACAGCTATGTAAGGTACAGTAGCTTATCCCACTTTACACATCAGACAAGAACCATCTTTAGTTGCATGGGATGGATTTCTTGTAACAAGAAATATTTCTCTAAACTTAAATGGGTCAAATATGTTTGATTGCACCATAGATTTGCAACATTTAGATTTGTATCCAATCCTTCAGTTACTAATCCCTTCAGGGTTGTTCCTGTGGGGGTTTTGTTTAGTTTTGGTTTCTCTTTGGTTGCTTACATAATGCTTTCCATGTTTGTAGTTTCCTCTAAGTCTATGACTCCTACTCGTGTATTCATGAAAATCACGTGTTAGGACCTGTTGTGAGCTTTGGTTTAAGCAAGTGTCAGATGATTAGCCTATGGATTTCAGCAGTTTAATCTTCACATCTGCACAATAGAACTCTTGTTCTTAGTTCCCTTACTGGATCTCTATAAAGACAAACTGTATTTTGCATGAAATTTAATAAGCTAGTTGTTGTTTAAGACTAAAATACTTTTTGTTAGACGAGGTTATGTAGTTTTATATGTGGAGTTGATTAGTTGTTTCTTCTAACTGGTAATCTCATGTGTAGTTTGGATGTGATGAAAGAAATTTGAGATCTGCCCTCTTCAGTAGTTACTTAGTTCAGAACAGAAAGGAATAAAGGATTTCTTTTTTTCAATCCTGATTTCTTGTTGGAATTTCAACTATTTCATTTTAAGTCTTTGAGCAGGGGTGTGGGTACTTTGCTTTTCCCCAGGGTTATTTTGTCTCTTGATGTCATTTTAAGTTACTTTTGTTGTCTTTATCTGTATTTTTTTCATTATTTTTTGCTTTCTTACTCCTAAGTGTGTTGCTTTTATAGTAAACAATTTTCTTTCATTATGACCTACTGTGACTTTGACACTAAATTTTCATCCTGTTCTCTGACCACTAGACCAGTGTCTCTTCCTGTCTTCAAAATATCTTTGTCAGTGTTTGCAGTTCATCCTTTTCTGCTGTTGGTTCTCAGGCATTTAACCTGTTTTCCTAATCTAGCCCCAGCATCACATGTATTCATAAGAGTGAAGCAGAGTACCACACTGTGGCATCTGTCATGTATTGGGCCATACTTTCAGCTGGGAGTCTCAAAGCCAAATTTAAATCCTGGTGCAGCTAAAGAGTTGATACTCAACTGATTTTCACGGTTTGTTATTAAGTAGGATTGCTTGTCAATTCTCATTAAACCAATCCTAAATTGTTGAGGGGATTAAAGTACTTCCCAGTTCTGTTCAGTTAACAGTGTATGTTTGGGTTTCTTCCCAGCTGAGTTACTAAAGTGGAAATGGCAGGTGCTTGTCCTGAGCATGATGACTTTCTTTGCTTTACTTCTAATTTTTCATCAGTCTTAAATCTTAAAATGAATGCCTAGGTCTGATTTTGGAAAAGGTAAAAATAGTTAATGTACTGTTGTTAGCTGTTTCTAAGCTGAGAGGCTAAGATGGCATTGTATTAAATGCCATAGAGAGAAAATCTTCTGATCTAACAGTTAAGTATAGGATAACAGTCTGCAGTCAGGGAGCATAAAGGGAAAATGAGAAATTAACCTGCAGATGGCTTTTATTGGTTTATGGGATGATGACTGCAACGCTGTTAGCTCTATTGATACCTGTTGCTGATAGCCATAGAGCACTGTGCCAGCCTGCTACTTCTAACCCACAATATTATTTTAATACTCTGTGAAAACACTCACCTATAGATGTTTGCTTCTCTGTTCTTTGTGTAGGTATCATGCCAGTGTATCACAACATGTTTGCACTCATGAGTGAAACAGAGAGAATGTGGTATCCCCCAAATCACATCTTCCATGTAGATGAAGCAACTAGACTCGTCCTAATTTACCGAATAAGGTAATCTAAATCAAATGTGTTAACATGACAAAACAAAATTATGTGCAAAAATGCAACCAGAAAGTTACTTAGTTGAACCACAGTTTCTCTTAAAAGTTATGGGCAGATATGGATAAAAGAATCAAAATTATTGGAGTGGTTTGAATAATGTGTTTTATTGATTGTCTATATCCCGTATATTTACCAATGTCAGACTGAAGAAACAAGCAATCAAAGTAAAAATAATATTCTTCTTAATCACGGTACATCTCATCTCTGTGCTTGTCTGTTTGGAATTAGTGGCAGTTCCGAAATGCAGAGTAATTACCTAGTGTAGTCAGGCATGTGACTGCATTAGAACAATTTTCCCCTGACTTCATATTTGAATGTGGACACTTAAAGCTATCCTCACAGTTCTCATTTTGCAAAAGATTTTGTTTATTTACATTGTATAATGTGACCTGAGTGTTTGTTTAGGAACTGTTTCAAAAGTAACTGGAAGACACAAAATTCTCTGCATTCTGATTAGCGAGTAACTGCAGAAGTCCTCATTCCTATCTGTACAGCTTGTCACCAGCTTAAATGTTGTAGTACTTTAAGACACCAAGAACTGGATCCAAAGTCTTCATTGACTAATTCAGGCTTCATAGTTATCCTCCGAACCAGCCAGCACTAATTACATGTATACAAAAGCAGTAACATCTGATGTTGGTAAGCGAAAGTATGTTTATTGATGTTTGCTTAAATTTCTTTCCTACCAGGTTTTACTTTCCCCACTGGTATTGCAATGGCACCAACAGGGCATATCGCTATGGCATTCTTCGTGGTACAGAGAGCCCTGTTCTTGATGATATTGTCATGTCTTACTTATTTGCACAGGTATGGTTTGCTGGCTTACTTTTTAATGGGGATTGGTACAAGTGATCAGTATTTATTCCCTTTCCAGCTTCTGATAGTAACTGTTCAGGTTCTTGACAGCTTGAAGCCCACTCAACATGAAAATTAAATTCCATGTCCTATTGTGTATTTGGAGATATGAAGCTCTTCTTCGGGCAGTTGTAGGGAGAGCAGTGCGTAATTCCTTTCTTGCATGACTACCATGTGGAAGTCTTTCAGTGTGATGTTCATGTTGAACTGATACAATGTAGAACATCTTCCCCCTATTGGCTTTCTCGAGATTTGAAGCGAAAATATTTTGGAAGCAATGTTTCTGAGCGTGATAGCAGCTGGTGTTCCTTATGAATAAGTGTAGCTTGTTGTGGATGAAGGAGTTCATTCAGGAGAATGCAGTATTTAAAGAAAAGAAAACCAACAAGAAAACACAAACAAAACCAATCAAGCAAGACAACAACAACCCCTCCCCCAGCAACTGCACCCCAAAAAACCTTCTACCAATGACCAGCAGTGCTACAGTTTTAATTTGCTTTCTTGCATTCTTTCTCAGTGGCGAGCTGATTTTTTGGATGGATGGGTACAGATGCCTGTTACTCACGAAACACAAGAAGAATGCCTTGGAATGGCCGTTCTAGATATGATGAGAATGGCCAAAGAAAAGGACCAAACCCCACTGGCTATTTACAATTCAGTCAGGTGACTCCATAATTCACAACTATTTCACACTTATCTGATACCTAAAACCAGTATTTTTGCACAGTAGTATCTGGAAGGAGATGTTCAGCTGTTGGCAGTTGATGTGTTCTAATAGTTACTTAAATTTACTTATAGTGTAAACTTGAAATTCATAGAAAACTTGTATCATGATGTCCATTGATGTTTTCAGGACATGGATTTGGCTGTCTAAGGTAAGGCAACAGTTTCTTAGGTGGGAAAGTACATAAGCAGTAATTTGAGGTGAGACACCTCTCTGTTCATGTCGGGACCAATTTCAAAGTTAGATTAAGTTACTCAGGGCCTCATACAGTCAAGTTCTGAAAATGATTAGAGATGGAGATTCCACTGTATCTCTGTGCAGCTTTGTCCTGTGCATGACCACACTCATCATGGAAGATTTTCTCTGTATCTAATCAGTTTTGTCTGTGATACTGATAATCTTCTGTTGCCTCTCGTCCTTTCATTGTGTGTCTGAGAAGAGTCGAATTCAGTCTTTTCCATAACTGTTAACAGTAGAACACCCTACTGGAGCCTTCTTTTCTCCAAGCTGAACAAGTCAAACTCCCTTACACCTCTTCTCTCATGACATGTGCCACAAGCTTAACTGTCTTGGGCAGATCTCTGCTAAACTTGCTTGAGTTTATCAATTCAGTTTGGTGTATCAGCCTAATCAGTTTTTATTCCAGCTGAGTTAGTTCTTTCCCTGCTTGGTACTTGATGCTTGTTTTTTTTCTTTTAATAAAACCTAGCAGAAGGAGATAAAAAAAAAAATCAACAAATTGGCCAGCTCATTGCAGGTGATAACTGTAACGCTTTTGCCTCTTGATAGACCATGGATAGTGATATAGAAAACTTCAGTGAGAACCAAACACATGTATTCTACCGCCTATATTTTCAGCCTGGAAATATGTCCTTTATCCGTGTAGTTGCCTCTGTCCATGCAGTATCTTCTTTCCAACTTGTACACCAAACAAAGCAACTGTGTAACTTTTACTGCCTTGCCTCAAAACTTCATTAATGAAAGATCAGACATACCTGGATTTATGGAAAATGTAATATATATGGATAGCTGACTGAGGGGCAAAATGGAAGAAGACACAGGGCTGTATTTGAAAGAGCATGCTACAGATTCAAGGAAGGATCCTTGTAATCCTACAGTTTAAAGAATAAGGGTACATTTAGAGGAAAAGATATTTATATGTTGACTTGTCTAGTACAGAACTAACAATCTTTCCTGGATTCAGTGGATAAAATCAGGTTGGGGGTTTTTTTCTGGTTATGTATTCACAGCTACAAGAGGTTTTTACCTAAATGTGTGCGTGCAAAAATCCAAGACTACCACATTTTGACACGTAAAAGAATACGTTACCGGTTCCGCAAATTTATACAACAGTTTGGCCAATGCAAAGCTACTGCCAGAAACTTGAAACTTAAGTATCTTATAAATCTGGAAACCCTTCAGTCTGCCTTCTATTCAGAGGTTTTTGAAGTGAAAGAACCTGGTGGAGGTCCTTCTGGAGAAGAGAGTTTTGCGACCATTGTAATAACTGGAAATGGTGGAATTCAGTGGTCAAGAGGAAAACTTAAAGACTGTGAGACATTAGCAGAGCAGGTAATTTCTTTTATTATTTTAGTAAGTGTGAAGTTTGTCATGTAACAGTAATTAGGTTATGTTAGAAGTTCTCGTTTACCCCAAGTAAATTTGGTAGGTAAATTTTACTTCACAGTGATGATACAATTTCCATATGGCTGAGGATATATATATAT